ATAAATAATAAATATTAAAAATTCTCTCTCTTCCCTCTCTCTCTCCTCTCTCTCCTCTCTTTCCTTCTCTCTTTAAAAAAAAAAAGTAATCTGTTATCCAAAGTATAGTACCTAAACTAATATAATTCCTTATACTAATAAGATAGTCATCACATAGCATATAAAACTAATATAATAACTGAACTTTGGAGCTTTAATATTAATGTAATATGTATACTACAACATCTCAAAGTACTGAAAGAGCATCCTTGTGCATCCTGTGCATTTGCCATTAATATTTTATCCATACTGTGGCCTGTTAATGGAATATTATAGCTCTTTGTGGCTGTTCATATTAATATCCATTCAATAGCATCTAATGCTAATATAATAGATGCCCTATGGCCTTTAATACTAATTCAGTATCAATACTGTGACCCCTAATACTAAAATAATAATTCTCCTGTGGCCTTTTAATATTACATAAAGTTCATTTATAGCAATTATATGAATATAATTCCTGCCCTATGGCGTTTAGTACTAATCTGATATCCATATCATAGCATCTATTAATGATCTAAAAGCAGTCCTCTTACCTTTGTACTGTTATGATATTCATATTATAGCATCTAAACTAATATAATTGTTCTCTTATGACCTTTAATTCCTATATATTTACCATAGCATCTAAATATAGTATAACATCTTTGTAGCTTTTAATACTAATGTAATGTTCTTACAATTACATCTAAAAGTGATATAATAGCTACCATGTGGTCTTTAATACTGATATTATATTCATGTCAGATCATTAAAAACTGATAGAGTAGCTTCCCTGTGGCTTTATTAGTAATATGACGTTCTTATTACAGCATGTAAAATTGATATGATAGCTGCCTTTAATATTTATATGATATCCATTATATAGTGTCCAAAGCTGATATAATATCTGCAACGTGCATTTCATAGGTAATATGACATCCTTACTAAAGTATTTAAGAACATTATAAGCCAGGCTCAGTGGTACATGCCTGTAATCCCAGTGGTTTGGGAGGCTGAGACAGGAGAATTGTGAGTTCAAAGCCAGCCTCAGCCACTGTGAGGCATTAAGCAACTCAGTGAGACCCTGTCTCTAAACAAACTACAAAATAGGGCTGATGATGTTGCTCAGTGGTCAAGTGCCCCTGAGTTCAATCCCTGATAAATAAATAAATAAATATGTAAGTAAATAAATAAAATATAATACCTGCATAATGGTATTTAATACTATTATTATATCTATATTATAGTATTGAAAATGAATATTATAGCTTCTCTGTGGCCTTTTGTATTAATGTAACCATAGCATTGCATTGAAAACGGATATAATAGCAGCCCTGTGGCTTTTAATTCTATTGTGATATACATGTGGCATGTAAAACTGATATAAGAGCTGTCTTATTGCCTTTAATACTCATATAATATCCGTATTGTAGCATCTGAAAATAATTAAAAAAAAACTACACAGTGGTGTTTTATGCTAATATGATATCCCTAGTGTAGAATCCTTACTAAAACAATAGGTGCCTTATAGCCTCTAATACTATTATTATATTCATAGTGTGCCTTCTGAAATTGATTTAATAGCTGCACTGTCACTTTTAATATTTCTATGATATTCATACTATTGATCTAAAAGTAATATCTATTCTGTGAACTTTGATGCTAATATGATATCATACTATAGCATTCAAAACTAATATACTGGCAGTCCATTGTTGATTCAAATTAATATATTATTCACATTATATAATCTAAAGCTAAAGCAATTGCTGCCCTGTGGTCTTTAATACTATTATAATACCCATACTATAGCATCTAAAGCTAATATAATAGCTATACTGTGGCCTTTAATATTACTGTGATATCCTAGTATGGCATCTAAAACTAAATACAACTACCTTTTTGCCTTTAATTGATATAACATTAATATTGTAGCATCTATTTTTTTATTAATGTAATATTCATATTTAACATAAAAAATTCATAACTTCCCTGAGGCCTTTAATATTAATATATGTACTATAGCATCTAAAAATAATAAAAGTAATCAAATATGTGTTCTAGTGCCCTTTATATTAATATGATGTTGATATTATACCATGTAAGCATGACATAATAGCTTCCCTATGGTCTTTAATAATAATGTGATATTCAGGGGCTGGGGTTGTAGCTCAGTAGTAGACTGTTTGCCTAGCATGTATGAGGTGCTGGATTCATTCCTCAACACCACATATAAATAAATAAATAAAGTGCATCAAAACCTAAAAATATTAAAAATAATAATAATGTGATATCCATACTATAGCATGTAAAACAAATGTAATAGCTGTCTTCTCCTTAATATACTGTCTATATTATAGATTCTAAAACTAATATGATAGATGCCCTGTGGTCTTTAATATAAATGAACTATTCATACTATACCATATTAATATATATAATATATGTCCTATTGGCCTTTAATACTAATGTGATAACCATATTTTGCATCTATTACAAATATAGTAGCTGCCACATGGCCTTTAATAATAATATGATATCTGTAGGAGCTGGATTTATACCTCAGTGGTAGAGCATTTGCCTTGCACATGTGAGGCAATGGGTTTGATTCTCAGCACCACATAAGATAATAAAATAAAATAAAGATATTGTGTCCATCTTTAAAAAAAGAACACCTTTTAATTTGTTCAGAGTCAAATTAAATGTGTGAGTCAAACTGGAGCTTAGGAAGGTGTGATTGTTAAAACATCATGACCACTAAAGAGATGCTAAATACTTTGCCCAGAGACAATAGGAAAGAAGACTTGAGTGCATCTCAGAAATTGGCAAAACCACCCCAGTTTCAGGCTCAAAGATTTAATTTTTCTTTTTCTTTTTCTTTTTTTTTGTACCAGAAATTGAACCCAGAGGTACTTAACCACTGGGTCACATCCTCAGCCTTTTTAAATATTTTATTTAGAGACAGGATCTCATTGAGTTGCTCAGGGCCTTGCTAAATTGCTGAGGCTGACTTTGAACTTGCAATCCTCTTGCCTCAGCCTACTAAGCTGCTGGGATTACAGTCAGGCACCATCTTGCCTTGCTCAAAGTTTTAAAAATAAAAATTCCTTTGAGAAGAGATCAGTGAGGCACCATGATTGAAGAGAGAGGCCTAAGAGGTTATTTCACCATGCTTAGCTGCCCAGGCACTCAGAGGTTGCTGTAGTCATGGTTTTAGGAGGTTTGTCTACTGCTTGAGATGGTGGCAGATCTTGGTATCAACTACATGGTGCTGTTTTTTTAAGTTTGCAAGACATTGGCATTAGGGGGTCATGGAGGCTCCCACTGTGATTTCAAAGGAAAACCTGGAAGGTCGGGAAAAATGTATTAGAGTTGGAATACCATCAGGCAGCCCCTGAGAGGATGAAGAAAACTATAGTGGGGACTCCTGAGATTAAGAGATGCTAGTAACATGGATCATTTTCCAAGGAAACCCATAGGAATTGAACAAACACAAGTCAAGCTAGGCCATGTGGACCGCTATTAACAAAGCCATAGGAGTGGAGATGCACAAGTCCTTTGGAGAGAATATCACAATGTTATTTGCCGCAAATATGCTTGATGTGGAACTACAGATCTTGTTTGCCCAGCTGGATTTTGGTCTTGTTTTGGTCCCATCTCTTCTTTCTATGTCCCTATTTATCACTTGTAGAATGGAAATGTTTAATCCATGCCATTATATATTGGATTATATAGCTTGCTTTGATTTTTATGGGGTCTCATGCTGAGTTTTCCTTAAGTTTCAGAAGAGGTTTTGGACTTAGACTTTTAGGGAATACTGGAACTGTTAAGAACATGTGGACTCCTGGATATGAACTCAATGTATTTTGGATCATGAGATGGACATGAACTTTTGGGGGCCAAGGGCAGAATGTTATGGTTTAGATATGAAGTGTTACTCTAAAACTCGTGTGTGAGAAAAGGCAAGAAAGATTTAAAGGTGAAATTATTTGGTTATGAGAGCCTTAACCTAGTGAGTGCATTAATCCACTGATAGTGTTTAACTGGATGGTAACTGTAGGAAGGTATTGTGTAGCTGGAGAAGGTGGGTCATTGGGGGCATTTCTTTGGAGTATATATTTGTCTCTGGTGAGTATAACTCTCTATCTGCTTCCTCTTTGCCATGTTCTGATTTGCTTCCTACCTCTATATCATTTGGTCAAGAGCTGTGGAGTTGGTCTTCTATGGAGTGAGACATGGAAAATATAAGTGTCAAATAAAATTTTAATTCTCTAAAAATTGTTCTTGTCAGGAATTTTTGACACAATGGCAAAAAAGCTTACAAAAACAATACTGTACTATCTAGAAATAATATACTAGTGGCCCTTTGGCCTCTTATATCAGTAATATAGCATCTAAAATTAATAGTTACCCTGTGGCATTTAATCATATTATGATATAAATACTATAGCATCCAAAACTTAGATAATACCTGCAATGGCCTTTAATACTACTATGATGTCCATAATAATGCAAGTAAAACTAATATTATAGCTTCTCTGTGGCCTCTGATATTAATGTAGTATCAATAATGTGGTCACAGGGTAGCTATTATATTACTTTTATAGATCACTGTATGGATATTAATATTAAATGTAAGGAAAATAAAAAGAGACATAGAGAGAAGATGCAGAGTCAGAATGACAGAATGGCAGAATGGTCAAGCTGCCAGCTTTATTTATATCAATAGGTTGCATTAGGTCATTGGCATCAGTAATATACTATTGTTTATTGTGTTACTTGGAAGGTTATAGAGTTAGCATCGTTATGCAGCTTATTCCTCAGTTACATTCTACAGTTACAATATGCAATGTTAGAAGCTTTGTGTAGCTATCAATAAAGTTTGTTGTTTACAGTTACTGTTAGATGGACAGGTCCAGGAGCATGGGAGCTTGGTGAAACATTTTTATTGTATAACAAGAGTGTTTCTTTATTCCCAGGAGCTGTGTGCCTGAGATCAAGGCCAAAGCTGATAAGACTCCAGCACAAAGCCTTCTAATGCAGGACATTGCTATAGCAGGTAGGCATCCCGTGTCTTTTCACAGAAGTTTTCCTAGCATCCAGGCATTCCACATCTTTGCACAGAAACTTCCTAGCCACCAAGTATGCCACATTCATGAAGCCATCAGAGACCCCAGTCCCAAACACAGAACCCTTACAATTAAGGCCAAAGGGAAGCTGTTATATCAGTTTTACATGCTATAATGTGGGCATAATATTAGTTTTAAAACTGAAGAGCTGCCTGTGACCTTTTAATACAAACATACTATGAAATTATAATGAATATAATAGCTCTTTTGTGGACTGTATAACTAATATGGTATCCATATTAAGGCATCAAAAACTGACATAGTAGCTGAAATGTTTAATTTAGTGTTAATATTATATCCATACTATGGACCTAAAACTAATCACATACCTTTCCTGTGGTCTTTCATTTTAATACAATATCCATATTATAGCATCTAAAACTAATATAATAGCTGCCCTGTGGCTTTTAGAACTAATATGATATCCAAATTATAACATTTGCCAAGGACCCTTAATATTAATATGATATTGATAAACTAGCATCTAAAACTAATAAAATATTTGCCTGTGACCTTTAATACTAATATGATATTCACATATACCACCTAAAGCAATATATTAGCTTGCCTATGGCCTTAAATATTAATATAATATTCATACTGTGACATAAAAAACTATATAATAGCTACCCTGTGAATTTTTTAAAAATATTGTTTTAGTTGTTGATGGACACAATTCCTTTACTTTATTTATGTTTTTTAATGTGGTGCTGAGGATTGAACTCAGTGCCTCACATGTGCTAGGCAGGCACTCTACAAATGAGCCACAACCCCAGACCAACTACCCTGTGACTTTAATAATAATATAACATCCATAACTTTTAATAATAATATAACCCATAAAACTAATATTGTAAATTCCCTGTGTATTATATTAATATAATCATTATATTATCATTATATTATTATTAATTATTATATTAATATAACATCCTTGGTATAGTATCTAAAACTGAATAGCTCTTCTATGGCCTTTAATACTAATAAAACATCCATACTATAGCTGTTAAAAGTGGCATAATAGTTTTCTTGCAGCCTTTAATAGTATACTAACATGATATCCATACTCTACCATCTAAATATAATAAAATAGCTTCCCTGGAGTCTTTAATAATAATGTAATATAGTACTACAGCATCTAAAACAAATAGAATAGCTGCCATGTGGCCTTCAATACTATCTTATTCATATTATTAGATAATACTGACAAAGTAGCTGCACTGTGGATCTTTAACACAAACATGATAGCCATATAATGGCATGTAAAACTGATACAACAGCTGTCCTGTGACCTTCAGTACTAACTTTATCCATATGATAGCTTTGAAAATCGATATATTATCTGCCTGTGGATTTAGTGTTAATATTTTATCCTTACTATGGCATCTAAAACTAATTTAATAGGTTCCCTGTGGATTTTAGTACTAATATAATATTCATATTATAGAATCTAAATCTAATACAATATCTGCCTTGTGATCTTTAATACTAATAAGATATCCATACAATAGAACCTAAAATTAATATTATAGGTGTCCTGTGGGCTTAAATACTGATATGATATGATATTCATATTATAGCATCTTCAGAGCAGCACTTTTTATTTTTTTTATTTTAAAGAGATCAAATTGGGTGGGTGTGTATATACTAATATTTATGACCTCTAATACTAACATAAAATCCAAAATATAGCATTGGAAACAGACATAATAGTTTCCCTATGGCCTTTAATACTAATATAATGTACATATCAGAATATCTGAAACTGATATAATGACTACCCTGTGCCTTTAGTATTAATATGATATTCACACTATATCATTTAAAGCTAATGTAATAGCTGCTCTGTGTTTTCCAATGCTAACATGATATTCACATCATATCTAAAACCAACATAACCACTGCCTTGTGCCTTGAATACTAATACAATATTCATGCTATACCCAATAAAATAATGGCTACCCTTCATCCTTTAATAATAATATGATGTGAGTATACTAGCATCTAAAATTGATAATAGCTGCTCCATGGCCTTTAATATTGATATAGCATATATACTTGGCTTATGAAACTAAAATAATAGCTGTCCTTTGTTCTTTTAATACAAACACAGAATCCATACTGTAGTATCTAAAACTGATATAAATAATAGCTGCTCTGTGGCCTTTATAACTAATATGATTTCCATAGTATAGTATCTAAAATTAATATAATTGCTGCTCTGAAGAATTTAAGATTAACACAATGTGAAAACTGTAGCACCTAAAACTACTTGCTGTCCTGTGTACTTTAACACCAATATGGTATCCCATATTATAGAATCAAATATTATACATTAAGTGTACTGTGATTTTAATAGTTATATATTCATACTGTATCAACTAAAGCTGATATAATATCTGCCCTGTGATGTTGAATAATTATGCAATAGCCATACTGTCCATACTAAAGTCTCTTAAACTAATATAATGGTGAGTCTCTGGCCTTTAGTACTTATAAAAACATGTACACTTTAGCATGTCAAACTGTTCTAATAGCTGCCCTGTGGCCTTTAATATTAATGTACTATCCATATTACAGCATCTAAGGCTCATAAGATAGATGAACTTTAACCTTTTGTGAAATATATATGTATAATATATGAACATATAATAATACAGTAATATATTGATATATTTATTATTATATTAATATATTTTATATATTAATTAAAGGTTAATATAACATTAACTTTTTAATGTTTACATTTATATTTCAGTCTCCCAAACAAATCTAATACCTTCTCTGAGTCCTTTATTACTAATATCCACAGTGTAGCATCTGACATCTGATATATTAGTTGCACTATGGCCATTAATATTAATATGATATCCATGCTACAGCATCAAAAGTTTAAAAAAATGTTGACTTTTGGCCTTTAATACTAACATAATATGTATACTATAGCATCTTAAACTACTATGAGAGCCATCCTGTTGCCTTTACTACTATATCCATAATCTGGCTTCTAAAACTGATGTAATAGCTGCCCTATTCCTTTAGTATTAATGTAACATATTTCCTACATCAAAACTTGAAGAATAGCTACCCTGAAATTTCAGTATTACTATAATGTCCATACTATTGCATCTAAAACTAATACAATATCTGCCCTGTGTACTGTGTACTGTAGCATCTAAAACTGATGTAACAGTTGTCCAATTGCCTTTGGTATTAATATAATATTCACACTAATGCATCTACAACAAATTTAGTAGCTGTCCTGTCTTTTAATAATATTATATTCATACTATAGTATCAGAACGGATATTATAGTTGCTCTATGGTCTTTCATATTAATGTGATAATCATACTCTTGCATTGAAAACCGATACCATAACTATCCTCTAGCTTTTAATTTAAAATGATATATATCACACTGCTATTCTTGCTTATCCACTGCTCTTCCTGTGCACGACATTACCTCACAAGAATGCTACAGTCATCCTGCTGCACATCTTGAGTACCTCCAACAAGGTGAGTGCAGGTTTCTAATTGGTGGGTTAGGGGTTAGGGTTAGGGTTAGGGTTAGGGGTTAGGGTTAGGGTTAGGGTTAGGTTAGGGTTAGGGTTAGGGTTAGGGTTAGGGTTAGGGTTAGGGTTAGGGTTAGGGTTGTTAGGGTTAGGGTTGTTAGGGTTAGGGTTAGGGTTAGGGTTAGGGTTAGGGTTGTTAGGGTTAGGGTTGTTAGGGTTAGGGTTAGGGTTAGGGTTAGGGTTAGGGTTGTTAGGGTTAGGGTTGTTAGGGTTAGGGTTAGGGTTAGGGTTAGGGTTAGGGTTAGGGTTAGGGGTTGGGGTTGGGGTTGGGGTTAGGGGTTAGGGGTTAGGGTTAGGGTTAGGGTTAGGGTTAGGGGTTAGGGTTAGGGTTAGGGTTAGGGGTTAGGGTTAGGGGTTAGGGTTAGGGGTTAGGGTTAGGGTTAGGGTTAGGGTTAGGGTTAGGGTTAGGGTTAGGGGTTAGGGTTAGGGTTAGGGTTAGGGTTAGGGTTAGGGTTAGGGTTAGGGTTAGGGGTTAGGGTTAGGGTTAGGGTTAGGGTTAGGGTTAGGGTTAGGGTTAGGGTTAGGGGTTAGGGTTAGGGTTAGGGTTAGGGTTAGGGTTAGGGTTAGGGTTAGGGTTAGGGTTAGGGTTAGGGTTAGGGTTAGGGTTTAGGGTTTAGGGTTTAGGGTTAGGGTTAGGGTTAGGGTTAGGGTTAGGGTTAGGGTTAGGGTTAGGGTTGTTAGGGTTAGGGTTAGGGTTAGGGTTAGGGTTAGGGTTAGGGTTAGGGTTGTTAGGGTTAGGGTTAGGGTTAGGGTTAGGGTTAGGGTTAGGGTTAGGGTTAGGGTTAGGGTTAGGGTTAGGGTTAGGGTTAGGGTTAGGGTTAGGGTTAGGGTTAGGGTTAGGGTTAGGGTTAGGGTTTAGGGTTAGGGTTAGGGTTAGGGTTAGGGTTAGGGTTAGGGTTAGGGTTAGGGTTAGGGTTAGGGTTAGGGTTAGGGTTAGGGTTAGGGTTAGGGTTAGGGTTAGGGTTAGGGTTAGGGTTAGGGTTAGGGTTAGGGTTAGGGTTAGGGTTAGGGTTAGGGTTAGGGTTAGGGTTAGGGTTAGGGTTAGGGTTAGGGTTAGGGTTAGGGTTAGGGTTAGGGTTAGGGTTAGGGGTTAGGGTTAGGGTTAGGGTTAGGGTTAGGGTTAGGGTTAGGGTTAGGGTTAGGGTTAGGGTTAGGGTTAGGGTTAGGGTTAGGGTTAGGGTTAGGGTTAGGGTTAGGGTTAGGGTTAGGGTTAGGGTTAGGGTTAGGGTTAGGGTTAGGGTTAGGGTTAGGGTTAGGGTTAGGGTTAGGGTTAGGGTTAGGGTTAGGGTTAGGGTTAGGGTTAGGGTTAGGGTTAGGGTTAGGGTTAGGGTTAGGGTTAGGGTTAGGGTTAGGGTTAGGGTTAGGGTTAGGGTTAGGGTTAGGGTTAGGGTTAGGGTTAGGGTTAGGGTTAGGGTTAGGGTTAGGGTTAGGGTTAGGGTTAGGGTTAGGGTTAGGGTTAGGGTTAGGGTTAGGGTTAGGGTTAGGGTTAGGGTTAGGGTTAGGGTTAGGGTTAGGGTTAGGGTTAGGGTTAGGGTTAGGGTTAGGGTTAGGGTTAGGGTTAGGGTTAGGGTTAGGGTTAGGGTTAGGGTTAGGGTTAGGGTTAGGGTTAGGGTTAGGGTTAGGGTTAGGGTTAGGGTTAGGGTTAGGGTTAGGGTTAGGGTTAGGGTTAGGGTTAGGGTTAGGGTTAGGGTTAGGGTTAGGGTTAGGGTTAGGGTTAGGGTTAGGGTTAGGGTTAGGGTTAGGGTTAGGGTTAGGGTTAGGGTTAGGGTTAGGGTTAGGGTTAGGGTTAGGGTTAGGGTTAGGGTTAGGGTTAGGGTTAGGGTTAGGGTTAGGGTTAGGGTTAGGGTTAGGGTTAGGGTTAGGGTTAGGGTTAGGGTTAGGGTTAGGGTTAGGGTTAGGGTTAGGGTTAGGGTTAGGGTTAGGGTTAGGGTTAGGGTTAGGGTTAGGGTTAGGGTTAGGGTTAGGGTTAGGGTTAGGGTTAGGGTTAGGGTTAGGGTTAGGGTTAGGGTTAGGGTTAGGGTTAGGGTTAGGGTTAGGGTTAGGGTTAGGGTTAGGGTTAGGGTTAGGGTTAGGGTTAGGGTTAGGGTTAGGGTTAGGGTTAGGGTTAGGGTTAGGGTTAGGGTTAGGGTTAGGGTTAGGGTTAGGGTTAGGGTTAGGGTTAGGGTTAGGGTTAGGGTTAGGGTTAGGGTTAGGGTTAGGGTTAGGGTTAGGGTTAGGGTTAGGGTTAGGGTTAGGGTTAGGGTTAGGGTTAGGGTTAGGGTTAGGGTTAGGGTTAGGGTTAGGGTTAGGGTTAGGGTTAGGGTTAGGGTTAGGGTTAGGGTTAGGGTTAGGGTTAGGGTTAGGGTTTAGGGTTAGGGTTAGGGTTAGGGTTAGGGTTAGGGTTAGGGTTAGGGTTAGGGTTAGGGTTAGGGTTAGGGTTAGGGTTAGGGTTAGGGTTAGGGTTAGGGTTAGGGTTAGGGTTAGGGTTAGGGTTAGGGTTAGGGTTAGGGTTAGGGTTAGGGTTAGGGTTAGGGTTAGGGTTAGGGTTAGGGTTAGGGTTAGGGTTAGGGTTAGGGTTAGGGTTAGGGTTAGGGTTAGGGTTAGGGTTAGGGTTAGGGTTAGGGTTAGGGTTAGGGTTAGGGTTAGGGTTAGGGTTAGGGTTAGGGTTAGGGTTAGGGTTAGGGTTAGGGTTAGGGTTAGGGTTAGGGTTAGGGTTAGGGTTAGGGTTAGGGTTAGGGTTAGGGTTAGGGTTAGGGTTAGGGTTAGGGTTAGGGTTAGGGTTAGGGTTAGGGTTAGGGTTAGGGTTAGGGTTAGGGTTAGGGTTAGGGTTAGGGTTAGGGTTAGGGTTAGGGTTAGGGTTAGGGTTAGGGTTAGGGTTAGGGTTAGGGTTAGGGTTAGGGTTAGGGTTAGGGTTAGGGTTAGGGTTAGGGTTAGGGTTAGGGTTAGGGTTAGGGTTAGGGTTAGGGTTAGGGTTAGGGTTAGGGTTAGGGTTAGGGTTAGGGTTAGGGTTAGGGTTAGGGTTAGGGTTAGGGTTAGGGTTAGGGTTAGGGTTAGGGTTAGGGTTAGGGTTAGGGTTAGGGTTAGGGTTAGGGTTAGGGTTAGGGTTAGGGTTAGGGTTAGGGTTAGGGTTAGGGTTAGGGTTAGGGTTAGGGTTAGGGTTAGGGTTAGGGTTAGGGTTAGGGTTAGGGTTAGGGTTAGGGTTAGGGTTAGGGTTAGGGTTAGGGTTAGGGTTAGGGTTAGGGTTAGGGTTAGGGTTAGGGTTAGGGTTAGGGTTAGGGTTAGGGTTAGGGTTAGGGTTAGGGTTAGGGTTAGGGTTAGGGTTAGGGTTAGGGTTAGGGTTAGGGTTAGGGTTAGGGTTAGGGTTAGGGTTAGGGTTAGGGTTAGGGTTAGGGTTAGGGTTAGGGTTAGGGTTAGGGTTAGGGTTAGGGTTAGGGTTAGGGTTAGGGTTAGGGTTAGGGTTAGGGTTAGGGTTAGGGTTAGGGTTAGGGTTAGGGTTAGGGTTAGGGTTAGGGTTAGGGTTAGGGTTAGGGTTAGGGTTAGGGTTAGGGTTAGGGTTAGGGTTAGGGTTAGGGTTAGGGTTAGGGTTAGGGTTAGGGTTAGGGTTAGGGTTAGGGTTAGGGTTAGGGTTAGGGTTAGGGTTAGGGTTAGGGTTAGGGTTAGGGTTAGGGTTAGGGTTAGGGTTAGGGTTAGGGTTAGGGTTAGGGTTAGGGTTAGGGTTAGGGTTAGGGTTAGGGTTAGGGTTAGGGTTAGGGTTAGGGTTAGGGTTAGGGTTAGGGTTAGGGTTAGGGTTAGGGTTAGGGTTAGGGTTAGGGTTAGGGTTAGGGTTAGGGTTAGGGTTAGGGTTAGGGTTAGGGTTAGGGTTAGGGTTAGGGTTAGGGTTAGGGTTAGGGTTAGGGTTAGGGTTAGGGTTAGGGTTAGGGTTAGGGTTAGGGTTAGGGTTAGGGTTAGGGTTAGGGTTAGGGTTAGGGTTAGGGTTAGGGTTAGGGTTAGGGTTAGGGTTAGGGTTAGGGTTAGGGT